AGGAACCCTGTTCCTACATATGTAGGAGTAAGAGTGAACTTGGCTGCCTTCTCGGACACCGGGCACTCTGATTGATCGTTGTGATCGCAGCAGAAAAGATTTCCCATTCTCCGAGAGGATGGTGAAAGGCAGAGTGGACAGGTGGACCTTTATCTAGTTTCCAGAGATCACTGGGTTCAGCTCTACCGATGCAAGGGGGTCTTGTCTGCAGTGAAGCATGTGAAAATCTCCCATCCCTGGTGCTGCTGGCGCCGGCCAAGCTCTGCCAGTCAGTATTGATTGACAGCATTGAGCGAGGAGACGCGCCCAGCAGTGCCAGTGACAGACACATTTTGCTTCCACTTCCTCAAATTAGAGCTGTTTTAAAAAAAAAACGTACTCCCAACCCCTCGAGCTCTAAAAATATTTCGGAGCACACGCAGCATGAAAACTTTTTTTTTTTTAGGTCAGAAAAAGTCTTGGGCATTTCCAAGGAGAACTAGGTTGTTTTCCTGCTGTAGTCGCTCCTCTCAGCGAGGAGTGGTGGCAGTACAGCGATTGTGGCTTGGTGCTACAGCATTGGCGCCCTGTCCCATCACCCAGCCCTAAGCCTCCTGCCTGCCCCAGTAGGGTGTGGCACAGGCTGCAGCAGAATGGGAACCTCGACACACTGCCCTAAAGCATATTTTATTTGTTCCCCTTTTACCAACTTCGCATAAATCACTGCCATTTTTCCAGAACCCGTTTCACAAACGTGTACTTGTGAACCTCTCTCCTGCCTGCAGAGCTTTGAGTTCAGGAGAGAGTGTTGAGGATACATTCGGTGTACCCACTCGGCAGAGCTCTCCAGAGTACTGGACTGTCTGTCCCAGGAGCAGAATGTGGAATACTGGAAGTTGTGTGTACAAATTAAACCACTTTCTGACAAGATAAAGGATGAGGGCACTTCTTAAACAAGCAGAATAAATGCTTGTACGTTTTGCCATTAAGAATTTTTCTGAGAATTTTTGCCATTAAGTTAACAAGTTTAAGTTGTTTTGTATAGCAGTTTAAGTGTTACCTCTTTGTAATGTCTTCTGGTTACTTTGAATTTTAGTTGTCAAAAACTGGGCCAATGTCGTTCGTTTTGGCTCTGAGGTCTATGCAGGGTGCCCAGCATTCCTTTAGCTTCTGTGCACTTTCCACAGACGCCACTGGAGATGGAGATGTCAGCTCTGTGACCTGCCTCCACACACTTTGTAGGCTGGGAGTGCTGAGCAGTCAGGTGCACCTGTGTGTTTCAGCAGGTACGGAGGCAGGCTGGCAGGCGGCAGCACCGCTCTGCCCCTGGCAGTCCGGCGCCGCTCGCTGCCCGCGTGCCTCTTATTCATCAGATCGTGCCGATTGTGTGTCTGTGCCCCAGACAGAACTGGGATCGGCGCACGAGAGAGGGCTGTGAAACCGCTGCCTGCTGCTGCACAGTTACAGCCAGATGCCTGCACTGATTGGACAGGGTCGAGGAAGGACGTGCTGATTTGCTGAGTGAAAAATGAGCCCTAGGGACACTCCAGTAGTAAGAGCAGCCCTGCTTTTCAATGGGCTCGGTTCCCTGTTGCACTGGGACCGAGTATGAGTGATGGGATTCAGAACTGCTGAGAAAAGTCATCTCCGAGTAGGCTGCCTGATCTGACTGTGTACAATACCCTTTCCTTTGCTGAGATGGACAAGTGTGGGTTCAAATTCTGATAAGTGATAGTGTAAATCATTGCAGTTTAAAAAAAAAAAACATTATCACAAAGAAATTGACTATTCGCATCTTGTTTTGCAAGGAAATGCAGCATCTCTAAAATAGATTGAAAACATGGGAGCACCTGTGACATGTGTATGTCAAAGTGTCATTTCAAACAATCATTAACTTTCTCTTGGCATGCAGTAGAAATGTGAGGTGCCAGACTCTTCTCTTCACTGTCTCCTACGGGTGAGAGGTCTACTAAGTAGGATCTCCTTCTCTCATTCCACAGCTACAGGTGAAGGCAGCTGTGTCAGGATGAGACAGGAGCCTGAGGTGTGGTATGCAGCTGAGGCTGTGGGAGTTTGCAGTAACCCCCTGTCCCTCCTTTCTTCCTTCCTGCTTGCTTTGGCTCATGGGGAGCACAGTTTCTTTTTGAGGCTCTGTTCCTCTAAAATGTCGTTGGTTTTTGAAAGCACATTTCTTCAAACCTATGTTTTGATCCCTTGATTTGCCGTAGAGAGCGAAAAGGGGAAGGCACAAGGACCCAGAGCATCCTGCTCCCCCTGCATGCCTACTGCTTAGCAACAACCAATCAGCCCAATGTTTTTGGATAGCCAGTCAGCCAATTACACGCAGGGAGCGCACGTTTGGGCTCCCGAGTTGGAGTGAAGTCTGGAAGAGAAACAACACGTTTGGGCTGAGCCCTCCCTGCTTCAGCACAGGGAAGACTCCCTGCTGTCAATGGGGGACATTTCAGGAAAGATTGGAAATGAAACCAAAAAAAAGAAAAGTTAAAATTCTGGGTGGTGTTAACAGAGTGTGCTGGGCTGATACACTAATTTTGCAAATGTATGCTTTTCTGCCATATAAATTATGCATTTAAGACTATTAGTATGGTGATTTGCATTGGGTCCCTGTGGGAACCAGAAATATCTCTGTGCTAACTGCGTCTTGAATTGGTAATGGTTTTTAAACGCGATTGCTGAACTTCATGTGATACTTCACAGCAGACAGACTGTAGTGCACGTTAGGCCATGTCTGTGTCCTATAACTCCAGGGTATTGAATGACTTCTGCCTTGTTTGCCTTTCACACAGCGCTGTGCTTGGGCTGGGAGCTAGATGTCTTGCTGCCTGGCATTTTGGACCTGTCCAGTCAGTTTCCTTCTGTTTTCCCTTGGTCTCTATGACCAGATCAGTTTGCCTTGATTTGTTTTTATGCTCTCTGCAACAGAGGGCTCATCGGTATGTATTTTCTTTCAAATATTGACTCATATAGGTTTGAAAAAAGTGGTCTTGGCGAGATTTCTATCATGATGTTGGAAAGAACTCCCGAGGTCTCTGTACGTTACACCAGGATTCTCATACCAGCAATGTGGGACATTTGCTAGGTGTGGAAGCCTTCAGTCTGCTTTCACTGGAATGCACCTGTAGAACACGACAATGCAGCAGTTAAACCCCCTCCACTGTGCTGGTGTGTCTGAGGAGAGCTCGGGAGCCGGTCTCTGGGGGAGTGCTGCCCGGTTCTCCTTGCGGAGAGCTCGGGAGCCGGAGAGCCGGTCTCTGAGAGCTGCCTGAAATGCTGCAGGCTTTTGTATGCGCACCCCCAAGCACACCCGAACTGCGCATGCAGGTCCTCGGTCTGTTTAAAGAAGTGTACATGCTTCCACTTAGTACCTCAGTGCAGTGGCTGTGCAGAGAATTTTAAATTTAAGATAGGTCTGTAAATATCTGAGATGATGCAGCATCTCTTTAAAACTTTGCTTTAAAACTCCTTGTTTTGTACACATGTCTAATAATAGACTTCCTGTGTTGTATGGCCGCTGCACACCTTCACCTTCATGTAAGAGAACTACATCTGGCCATCATCTCATCTTGTTCCAGTACCTTCAACTGGCTTTTTCTGCATCATGTCCTTGATTGCTGCTTCCTTGTTTTAAATGTGGCTCCGTCTTATACCTGTGTATTTGAACATTTGTGTCTGTGTATGCACACTAACCTGTGGGGTTACTGCGGGCAGTAGTACATGTGTTTGAGCTGGGATCTCTGACAGGTGACCTGATAAGTAGCCCAGCTCTGGGAGAGCCAACTGGTAAAGGGGCAGGCAGTAGTGACAACAGGCTCTTTCCACACTTTTTTCTTCTTGATCTGTGCTCGGTTTCTTTTTTCCTATGGCCTTTGTGTAATATGTTATGATAACCTGTTCGTTGTTCACTTTGCTGCCCCCTGAAACTAGTTTGCTTGTTGTTGTTGTTATAAGGTGATATCTGAGAGGGAAACTGCAGTCCCAATTTCTCCGACTGGTTCTTAAATCTCGTTGACAAACTAAATTCATTGACGTTCTAGAAAAATCTTGCAAGTGTTGAGTTTGAAAATGGTGACCGTTGTGAAGTGATGTGGCCTGTCCCCCTCACCAGTCACTGTGATGACTGCTTTAATGTGATGTACAAGAAGTACAGCTTGTGCAGCAGACATTTCACTGCAGAAATGTTGGTATGTGATCTGCATGGGGAGTTAACAAGTAGTATTTGTTGGCAAACGCGTCTCGAAATTGAGAGTGATATTTTATATTGGATTGCAAGAGAAGTATTCACAAGCCCACTTCTTTACGGAGTAATAAGGACACAGCACATCACCGGAGGTTATGTTGCCTCGTTCTAAATGGAAGAATATGGTAATGCACCAGGAAATTGTCTATTTTGTGATGTAAATTGGAGGAATGTACTGTGTACATATTACTTTCATTGCGGTTTAAAATACACTCATCAATGCTGATTTTTTCCAACCCTGAATTATAAAAATATGATCTTAGTTCCCCTTTAATTAAAAAAAACACTGACGTAAAACATACGAACTTGTAGTTAATAATAAAACTAGTACTCTTCCAACCTCACTGGTCTGTGCAGTTAAAATGGTACCAGTCACTCATGGTTCTACTCCAACTCTGCTCCTGGTGCTCTGGTCACTGGAGGCCCCAGGTGGGGCAGGGGGGCCATGGAGGGGTCAGCTCTGGCCAGCGGGGCCCCACACAAGGGGGGAGGGGTGGGCCCTGCAGAGTGGTCAGCTGTGAGATGACCACAGGTGTGTGCTTGAGAGAACGCAGAGCCATGTGCAGTCATTGGCACATTCCTCTCATTCTGGCTCTGCTGTACTGTGTGCTGCCAGTCCCACAGGCTGCATGTTTCTGAATTGCTGAATAACTCTGTAGGAGGGCTGGGACAAGACGGGAGCAGCCAGACAGTCTTGGTATTAGCATGGGAAAACAGCTTATTTGGTGCAGTTTTTCGTTTACAGATCTGTTTGTCTCCGCAGGTCTCTGGTGATCATCAGTACCTTGGACGGGCGGATCTCGGCCCTGGACCCAGAGAATCAGGGCCGGAAGCAGTGGGACCTGGACATGGGTTCAGGCTGCCTGGTCTCCTCCAGCCTCAGCAAGCCAGAGGTAGCCCGACTGACACATTCCATGCATACTGTATGCCAGCTGCCCAACACACAGCCCTTGCAGCCCATACCAAACTAGCACAAGTGTTCTAGAGAGCTCAGTTATCACAAACTATTTTATTCATGATGGACAATATATAAAACTTAAAGCAGTCCAAGGTGCTTTGTGGGAATAAATTTGTACAAAACAACAATCCAGACATAAACTATCCATAAAACATAACCATTAGTGAAATCTAAAGTTTAAATAAAGTGTTTTAGACGGTACTGACAGTGTTACTGTAAAGGTCCTCTTCCCCATTGTGGTCAGACTGCCCATTCGGAGCCCTATAAGGACTCATTAGGTTCTGCAGTGGAAGAACAAGACCAGAGCTCTTGTCCCAGTGTTTAAGATCAGAATAGTAAGCTAAATAACATGGCTGTCAGTGGACTCTGGTCCGGAAGCGTTCCTCACTCAAGATTTGGGAGTGCCTCCTCCTGCAGTGTCCTTTTCTAGACCTCCCATTTGCTTTTAATTGAGCAATTGAGGCACATTCACCGAGTCAATACCCCTCTGCTGGATCCGTTTCTGCACTCCTTTCTCATAAGTTTCCGATGTTCTTCAGGTAGAGATTCTGTGATTCATAGCACATCTGAATATCATTTTCTATTGCATCTCTTCAGGGCGAGGTTGGGGGCTCACCCAACTCTGCGTAGCCTGCTTACAGTATCTTAATGATTGGATAAGATAAGGAACAGACATTATTGCATATGTTATTTTTATAGTTTTAATTCAGGGTGTAGAGATATCTGCAAATGCTTTCTACATATGAATGAATGCAGCTGTTGTAAGGGAGTCCCATGCAGACGACGCCATTGAGAGATGACTGGAGGAGGACTGGGCCTCCAGAAGGAGCAGGAGAGGAATAGCCGAGCTCCCTTCATGATGATTCGAGCAAGGGACTTAAAAAGTGTGGGGCTGGTTTGTCAAAACTCCAAGACCCAACCTCTCCTGTGTTGCCAATACAGTGTTCAGTCTGGGGGAAAAAAGCAGTAGTTTTCGAATTGGTACTTTACCATCTTTTTTTAAATCCAGTTTTTATTTAGAGGAAAATATAGAACCAAAAGGTAATAAATGACAGTCCTGTTGTCTGGCATTGAGCATTCCCCCTGTCCTCAAAGCTCATTACCGTCACGGATCCAGATATCCCTCCCTGCTCCCTACACCTCGCAGCTCAACACATGGCTGTGCCCGGGGTGGATTATGTTTGAATAGTACAGTATTTGCAGCTCTCTCCAGCCTTGAACAGTCTTTTCCCTGGCTCTTTGGACCTGCATAAAAAGCTGAGAAAAAGGTAAAGGTGTATTCCGTACTGACAAGAAAAGCAAAGGGACACACTTTTGGTATACCCAAAGGAAAAGCATCTGGGGAAAGTTCTTTTTTTCTTCTGTGTTGGACTCATCCACTGCGTTCGAACAGTACCACAAATGGCTCATTCCTCTTGATTTTCAGCTCTTATTGTGCTCAGGCTCTGCAAGTGATTTCCCTGTCATTCTTTTGGGGGGCAGTGCTAGCGAGAGCTCATGGGGGCTCATCACCCCTGAACCCTCCTGGTATAAGGAGACCCCAGTCTGCAAAGCTGTGAGAATCGAAAGGCCAGATTGTGTGAGCGTGCCACCTTCTACTCGTCCAGTCTGTTAGCAACCCACTTCCTGCACTGTCTTCACCAATCAGCTGTTCCTTCACTTACATTGCTAGTGTTTTTTTTTAGTACTTGTTAGTCTAGAAGCATTTTTGTGTCTGCAGAGATGAGTAGTCAGTTTCCTGTGTGACATCAGCTCTCCAGCTGCAAGCACCTTATCTCCTTCGCACTGTTTGTTTGCACGTGCCTGCCTGATGGAGAGATTAGGAAAAGAGCTGCTTGCTGAAATTAATTGTGGTCATACACATCTCTGTTATTCACTTGCTTCCAAACCTCAGTTCTGTCATTCACTGTGCATGTGCATCCCAGGCCAGTGCAGGACTTCACCCTTACTGCCTTCACTTACTTAACCTTCATTGGCACTGGTTTAATCATTAGGACCTCCAACCAAGAGGAAAATGTTTTAACTTTTGTTTTTACGTCTGATTTTTTTTGTAAAGGTTCAAATTGCAGTTTATTCCCAACTACAGCTTCCCTTCTGTTGCCAGACTCAATAGGAAAGCTGATAAATTTTTTCTTCACTCCCTGCAATTAATGTTCATTCTCTTCTGCTCCTTACTGGTTTATAATGGATAATTCTGATTTAATAGATTTGAAATGTCTGACGGGTACACTAAATGTGTATGGTGAACATCTTATTTAATGTCCTGAAAGCTGGGTTTTTCCTATATTTAAAGTTGAGATATTGAAATTGTGTAAAATTCAAACAGGTAGATATGTATGTCTGTGTATAAGTCATACATAAGTTTTGACTTTGCTCCTCCAGTACTGTTGGAGGGAACCATATACAGTATAGACTTTCAGACTTTGCTTATTGATTAAATATTTTAGATTTATTTTGATTGAGTGGTGATTTGTACTCTAGAATGACTTTGACTGATGCCTAATGACTATATTGCCTCATTGATCAAAGAAATAGATTAAGTGCAGGTGATGAGAGGATATAACCTGTTGAATCATGAAATCGACGTTTTCCTGCCATTGGCTGGTTGAAGGCTGCACCAAGTCTGTGCGCTGTCACTTCTATGCAGACCAGCCTTGTAGACATTCAGGAGTGCGATACTGGCAGTTGGAGCAACAAAGATTTCGCACAACACTTGATGGGGAAAGTACACCAGTGTCTTGTCCTCCGCTTGTAGAGATTAATGGTAATGTGACAGCACTGGTGATGTCCCAGGTCCTCACGTGCTCCTGACGTGACAGTATTCCAGCTGCAGAATCCACAGCCCTATGCCACTCATGCGACAACAGGTTTCTTGCAGAGCGTTAGATGAGAAGGTCACAGTGCTCCGGATGCTCGGGTTTCCAGGTTCGAGTAGCGTTGAACGTGTGGCTTGGAACACGTGCCCTTTCACACGTCGCTCTGCGAGAGGAATGGAACAGATTCCCACAAGAAGAGAAAAGCCACCGGATGCGGAGAGTCACAGATGCACCTCTTACGTTGATTTCATCCGTTTTCTATCCGCTTCCTCAAATTTAGGGTTGCAGGGGAGCCAGGACCACTGTTGGCAAGAAATGGGCACAAGGCAGGGTACAGCCTGGACAGGACACCAGTCCGCTGCAGCACAGACACACGGACACACACACTTGTGCCACGGGCTCATTTCCCAGAAGCCAATTAATCTACCAGTATGTTTTTGGACTGTGGGAGAAAAGCAGAGCCCATGGAGGAAACCCGCACGAATATGTGGACAGCATCCAAACGCCACACAAATAGCACCCCAGGTTTGGAATTGAACCCAGGCCCCCAGCACTGCAGCAATACTAACTCCTTTGCCATTGTGCCGCCCTACAGTCCCTTTTGATCAGCCCTTTTCACGACAGAAATAAGCATAAGGAGTTTTCCTGTCTGTTCTTTAAAATTTCAGTACAGATTTTTCAAAAAGACTAGATTTTCCTGATAACTTTGTAAATTGCTGTTTTGTTTCCATTAGAGTTTAAACAAGCATGTAGAAGATATCTTCTGTGCATCGGACTAACCTAAGAGAACCAAGAGCCTGGTGCTGCCCCCTGCTGTCCTGTTGGCTGCTGGGCACCTTTAATGCCTTGATTTTTTTTTTCCCCCCTTTGCCTTTTTCTTCCTGAAAGTTACCTCTGCCTCTTATTTCAGTGGCACTTGTATGTAAAACAAACTTGCATTTTACCCATTACTACAGATGGGGAATTTTCCAGAAATTATTTGAGTGACATACCTTACCAGAACTAGTCAACACCCTTGGCTTTTTTGTTAGTTTTAATTCAGATCCCTGTACAAAGTACATTTTCTTCTAATGCTCATTGCAGTCAACTACATTTTGAAAACGGGGGGGGCCTTACAGTATGCTTTAAACATTCTGTTGCATCTAGTAAATCAAAAAGGGGAGGTTTACAAAGGGGTGGGGAATTATCCACGGACAACCCAGTCTTTCCTGTGTGCCCATTTCATCTTACAGGAGTACACTTTCACTTCTTGGAGGACTATTCAGTCACTTAGACATTCCCATATTTATTGAAACCGTAATTAATGCAGGTAATACAGGTTGTAATAAAGAACGGGCCTCAGTCTGTATAGATGAACCCCTTGTTGCTGTCTGCTTAACTTCTTCTAAATACATTTCTTTAAAACCAGAGACTGTCGGACAGAATTGCAGTAATTAAATCACTGACAGGACGGATACGAAGGCACTTTGCTACTGCACATCAGGAACAAACTCTGCCTGAAATTAAACTGTTTTAACAATCTCCAGTAAATTATTTGATCTCAGCTCATGGACTGTTGATGGTCTGGGCTTGGAAGAGGTTGGCGTAGCAGAGCTCGACTCCTAAAGTCACATTAAACTCCTCGTTCTTCTGTTCTCCCTCTCTGCCCGCTGTTCTTTCGTCTAGATCTGATCTGCTTGAGTGTTGAACTTGAACTTCAGTCTCACAATAGTCTTCTTTCTGCCTGGCAAAGCATGTGATTCCAGCCTGAAGAGAGGTCTGTGAAGCTCAGCTTGTGAGGCATGGCTTCTTTCATTTTTCTGCCAATAAATTTTGACAGCTCTTTATTGCTCTTTATTTGGGCTATTTTGTTTTTTGCGAAAGGTTTGATCATTGCAATCGTGGTTGTCCAGTTTGGTGGGGGAGCTGACAGAGCACGGGTCCTATTACGAATTAGCTCTAGATGTTAAAAGTTTGTAGCTCAGGGGCATGTTTCACTCTGACAGGTATTTTTGTTCTGCTTTTTAAGCAGTTTCTAACCTGTCTCTTCAAACGCCAGTAACCTCATAGTGTTGCCTGCTCGGAGTGGGCGCTGATTGGCTGTGAGCTCCAGCAACCCCTGGCGTTTTGTAACCAGGCAGTTTGATTCGTAAGCCCTGTCCTTGAGACACCAGTCTGCTTAGTGATTAGGGGTCTGGCCAATGCCATTGGCTCCTGCCGTGGAACCGAAATAAAGTCTTTACCTATGGGGGTGTGAGGAATGTGGCGAGTGCAGTGGATAAACAGCAAGTCTGCAAACCCACTGTCACTTCAAAGAGATAGGAGCCCAGCCAATCTGGAGTGAGTCATGATGTGCAGGATTAGGATGAGGTAATGCTCCAGCAGAGGGTGATGTCATTGCTTGGCCCAGCCCCTCCCCCGCTCTGCTGTGCATGCCTTTGGAGGAGCCCTGTGCTGCTGTCATCCTGAGGACAGGCTGGGCCTCGATCACCCTGCGCTGGAACTCCTCACCTCTTTACTCAACCACTGCTCACTGAGGCCAGGCTTCTTCCTGATGACCTGGGCTCCGCAGGCAGGCAAAAATAAACACTTTTCATGTTCTGTGTTATACTAACTAGTATGATCTTACTTAATTCTTTCCCCTGCTTTTTTGGATTTATCCACAGAAATGTCAATTTAGCTCAATTTAAGCTAAGTTAGTTGTACTGCATTGTTACAGTCTCTTCAGAAACGCAGTCAGACCTCACAGCCCCCATGAGGATCCTACTCAGCGATCAGAACTGCTATTCCTTTTCAACTATTAAACAATACAGTCTCATTGTAGGACATTTACAATTGCAAATTGGGTTCTGTTAATACTTGACATTAATCATTTAGAAAGCTGCTTATTCTGAATTACCACACTATTACAGAGTATGCTGCACTACCAGGTACACAGGAATAGTTAAGAGTCCGATCTACTCCAGGGTAGGCATGCACAGAAGGCACCCCAGCCTGGAATCGAACCCCTGTAATTTAACAGTGATGAGCAGTAGTCGGGACTTGTGACTTAGATGCTGTGTGTTTGTATCCTTGTCTCCCTGTTGTGACCAATGCTGTTGTTCTCTTGCCCAAAGGAAATTTACCTGCCAAAGGATCCTGTCTATCCAGCTGTGCACATGGTGATGGACTCCTTACATGTCAGGGAGCAGAATAGCATTCTCTCTGTCGGCTTAATGATACCGAATCTAGGCTCAGCTGTGGACTTGACCATTTATATTACAACACTTAGTAGTTTCTGTATATAAACCTTTGTTTCAATAACAGATGGATCAAAGTTTTTAACTGGTCAGCAGAGTAATTACAATTTAGGATAAAATGATACAGCACTATAATGGACACGAACCACAATAACGTGGTATTTAATAGAGTAACTGAGTTTACCACAATCCGTGAATAGCCGCAAGGTTGTTTTGTAGAAGGGATTGCCTTCTCTGTCGATTTAGACATGCTGTAGCACTTATTAAAGTTTTATGATACACTGTATCAACATAAAGGTAACGAGGAGGCAGTTCAGCTCGTCTTGCTTCATTCCCTAAACTTCCTTATTCTCTGGACAGGCTGTCCTACACCGTGCGTGTCTCCCCAGGCCCCCATCAGACACTAACATGTTTTGCTGTAGCCAGCCTGTCTAGGCTGTCGGGGTAAATTCAGTCTGACAAGTGCGTCAGTGCACCGTCCGCGCTGTGCGGCCGATGTGTCTGCCGTCTGTGCGCAGTCAGGGGTGCGCTGATGCGTCCCGGGACTCCGGCACTAGGCCGTATCTCTGCCACGCTTTGCACTTCGCAGGGTTAGTGTGCACAGTACCTGCGGCCAGTCGTCCCTGTATTGTGTTACTAGGAGCTGGGGGCTGAATCAAACTCCACAAAATGGCAAGGAAGTTTAGCTAATAATTGTGTAATTCAGGGTATTTTCATCTTCTCAAAGAAAGGTCTTCAAATCAGAAATTGTTCTTCTTTGACTCCTTGGAAATAGACTGTGGTACACCCTCCTCTACCCTTTTGCCTGTGCTAAAGATCCATTTTGAGAGGCTGAAGAGCCCGTTTGGGGTAGAGCTCTGCTGCACTGGGCGCATGTCTTGGCTCAGTCTCCAGTACTGGGTCTTTCACAGGTTGACTGCATTGATGGATCTTATGACAAATGCACTCCTTCCTTGTTTTGTAGAAAACTTGTAGCTCTCCCGCAGTGGAAAGGCAAATGAAGTCTTGCTGTCCTCCTGAGACTATATTCTCCCTCTTGGTTTTTTTTCCTAGCATTTAAAGTGTTTTCTCCTCTGTTGTTTCTAGTTAAAGTACATAATCCCTAGATATAGACTTCGGAGCACTTTGTTGAACTGCATTACAAGGGCAGATTATGAATTTCTTAAAAAAAGAGCAGGAAGGATATAGACTTCACTGGTCAGGGTGAACATCTGATGATGCTATCGGTAATGTAGAATGACACATTATTAACTCTTTGAGATCATCTCTGTGGTCCTGAATGAAAGCCATTATGAAGTAACAGGTTAAGCTGGATTCCGCTGTAGATTTTATCTGGGATAAAATGAGCAGGATGACTCACTGCCGTGCTATTTAAATTCCTTGTTAAAACCTCTTGCTACCCAATCAGTGGCCAGTATGGTGTGTAGTCATGCTGTCTTAGTGTGAACAGATGACATCAGCCGTTATTACGACATTTTAAAGCACCAGTTCAAAGCAGCTATACAGGAACTCCATGCACTTAAAATTCTCATGGGGGGGAAAGGATGCTAAAATCTCAGTTTGAAGCTAAATTTAAAACTATGCACTCTACAGAACTAAACTTTTTACTTTTCTAAGTGGAGTGGATTGGGAGTTCCTGATTTGACAAATGTGAGTCCCAGCTAAACACTCAAAAGTAAGCATGGAACTCCAGCAGTCTTCCAAGTCATGATACTTTACATTTTTGCTTGCACTGTGGCCTTGTCCCTGTTACAGTCGGTGTTCACTATATCTCAGTGAGCCCTTTCCTGGAGGGTCTGTCAGTAGGTAATATGTGCTCTGGTAGGAAGAGCGGATTGGAACACATACTGTACATAGTTGAAAGTAAGTCTTGAGTAGGAAACAAGCACTGTGACTAATTTTAAAACTAAAGACCTCATTCAATCTGCCTGTCACAAGGAGAAACTGCAGAAGGAAACCTTTATTGCTGGCTATATTGAAAAACCAATGTCGATATTCATGGTATGATGTGCTGTATGAAAGTCTCATGGAAAGTGAAGTTGTTGGGCATTAATTTCCCAGAAGGTGTAGTGTAAATACATTGTTTGACTTAAATGTATTCCTCTATTATGACCAAATTTTGATTTAGTACTTAGTTTGCTTAGGTTTCTGTGCATTTGTTCATATACTGCTTAATCAAATCAATGTCACGTACTGTTAAAATGAGTTAAAGTTAATCACCTTTCAAGTTCTCTTGCAGTCAACACTTGCAACAAGACCATTACTCTGTCCCTGACTTATTGTTTCACTGCCCACGTGGCTACAAAGTTAAGCTGTCTCTTCCCTTCTGGAGCAGCACATCACTGGGCCGAAACTGAGCTGAGCTCAAAATCTAGAGCACTGTTCAAAATGAATTGGCCAAACCTCAGCCAGGCTTTTGGAGTCAGGCTGAGCTCTAGGATCCTGTGCCAAGAATGTAGGAAAGTGAAGATGTTCTTCAGCAAGCCACACTGCTTGAAGAAGTCTTCACATTGTGCTTTCTAGAACAAAGCACTAGATCTGTTTGGATGTCAGTCAGGCATTTAGTCTAAGTACCAGGGTCTTAGCATAAGAACAATAAATGATTGACTTTGTTCACTAATCTCTGTGGAGAAATTAAGCTAATTAAGCTCTTTGCAAAGCCCGTGATGATTTGAAGCCTTCTGTACAATGGATCCTGTGTCTGGCGCCCACGGAGCAACAGTGAGAAGAGTATGGCTGATCTGTTGTAGTGGCTATCTGCACTGCTCCCAGCTGTAGTGATACATTACATCTGCATTTCAGAAACACACTTTTGTCAAGCAAGGGCAGTATTTCAGTGGCTGTGATTACTTGTCAATCGATATTACTAACTGTATTTGAAAAAAATGTGGACTCTGATTAGTACTGATTCTGGGCTACCTAATATTAATTCAATTAAAGCTTCCCATGGTTAGGGTTATGCCATACCAAAAATGTGAAAATAGTCCGTAATTAGTTACATTTGATATAACTGAGCCCCAGATTAAGTCTCTCTATATAAATTCCCTATTATCTATGTGTATGTTTATCTACATCTCAAACTATGCATTTAAACCTGTCAACCTTCAGGCAGGTAATTGTGACTGGCTCACTGAAATTCCTGTAAACTTAGTGATCCCAACCCAGCCACTGTTGTTTAATTAATTAATAATTAATTGCTTACACTTATATAGCGCTTTTCTGGACACTCCACTCAAAGCGCTTTACAGGTAATGGGGACTCCCCTCCACCACCACCAATGTGCAGCCCCACCTGGATGTTTAAACTTTTTCAGTGATGAAATTTGGAACTGCAAACCTTAACCCCCTATCTGTGTGGATCAAAAACCATTTTTTTTTCTCCTGCAAGGTGTTTGGGAATAAGATGATCATCCCATCCCTGGAGGGTGCGCTGTTCCAGTGGGACCGGGACCGGGAGAGCATGGAGTCAGTGCCCTTCACGGTGGAGTCCCTGCTGGAGTCCTCCTACCGCATCAGGGAGGACACGGTGCTCGTCGGGGGCAAGTCTCTCACCACCTATGGCCTGGGCGCCTACAGTGGCAAGGTGTGTCCAGCTTGTCACGCCCTGAGCAGCCGGTGTCCTTCCCCTTGGGGCTGATGATGTGGAGGGGGGTGCCATCTCTGCCGAGGAAGGTGTGAGGGTGGAGGGTGCTGTCCACCCCTTGGAGAGCAGCAGCAGCAGCAAAGAGCAGGGCTCACCTCTTTTCACTCCCGCCCAGCCCATCACCAGCGGCAGACCTGTGCTGGTTGTTTGGCTGGGGTGAGGCAAGGGGGGGTGGCAGCACAGGAGAGCTATGAAGAGCCTGTTTCATACCTCCAGCCTTCCTGTCCCAGTTACCTTTCCAACACCCCTGCGCTCAAGTTGTTCAGAAGCGACCCAGGCTGGACCCTGCTGGTAATGCTGCTGTTGTCCCCCCCTCTCTCTCTCTCTCTCTGTCCCGCTAGCTGCGGTATATCTGCTCGGCCGTGGGCTGCAGCCGCTGGGAGGAGGAGGAGCTGGAGCCGGAGGATGTGTTGCTGCTGCAGAGAACACAGAAGACCGTGCGGGCGGTCGGGCCCCGCAGCGGCAACGAGAAGTGAGTCTCCAGAGCCACGTGGCCGGCGGGCTGGGCTGGGGACACCCGTGTATGAGAAGGCATGCATATTTGGGCATATCCGTGTGCACGAGCGTGCAGGCAGGGACCAAGCAAGACAGGCTGTGCTGTCTCTACTGGGCATGGCTTGGCCCTGGCCTGTCCTGAGTTTGGATCACTTGAGCAGACCGTTGGTCCCCCTGTGCCACTTTTGAACTGATGGTGAAATCTGTAAGTTGGCCTGGTGTCTGTGACCAGGACTAGCACTGTGTTACTCATCTTACAGTGAGTGCTGGCGTTTCTGTCCCCAGAATGGTTTGCTGTGCCCATGAGTCAAGTTATGAGATGACATCGAATAGGAATCACGTTTCAGTAAGCTCAAAGTTGAGCCTCTTTCATTTATACACCTCTTATAAAGGTGAACCATAAATAATGGAGTTGACAGATGTTTACTTGTATATACAATTGTTATATTTCAAACTTGTTTTGTAATATTGCCAAAAAGTTTTTTACTTTTCCTAAAAATGCAGTGTTAGTGCACAGGTGTTTTGTTAGAACTGTGTCTTCTAATGTCAGGTCTACGGTGAAATGCAGTAACTAAAAAAAAAATCAAAGTTACTTTGCAGGTTCACTTGCTTTGAGTTTTTTTAGGAATTTGTTGTTTTGCCTCTTTGTTTAAGGCAACAGTGTTCCCCGTCACTCACTTTCTCGATCTGACTACAGGCTGGAAAACTGATAATACCTGTATTTATACATGTTTTCTTGAATTCATCCTAAAATATTGGATATACTGTACTGTATGTAAATATATGTTGAAAAAGGGTGAGGGGTGATTGGTATAGTGCTTCAGGAGTTTCACCTTTTCTCAACTTGTCCAGCACAATCAATTTCATTTTGACTTTCACAATCAAGAGTGAAGGATTCATTTTCTCCCGGCTTTGTACTGTTCTTCTGGGACACAGGAGCCAGTACGTCATGGATTCCACACAGTAACGGGCTGTGTTGTAACCGAGTTGCACTGTGCTTTTCAGGCCTGGGAGTGTTGCACCACTGTGCTTGACTGTGCGGTTTGCCCCAACAGGTGGAACTTCAGCGTGGGGCACTTCGAGCTAAAGTTTGTGCCTGCGGTGCAGACGGCGGTGAACTACCTGGAGGGAGAGCCAGCTGGCGGGGGGGCGTGGCGAGAGGGGCAGCGCGTGATCTGTGAGGATGACGAGCCCAAGGCTGAGACCAGGGACCTCGTCATCAAAGTGTCCGTGCCTGACTGGAAGGTCATGGCCTTCAGCAACAAGCCAGGGGGGCAACTGGTGTGGGAGCATCAGGTGAGCGTTATGAGTCATGCCTTAGCTGCACAGCACATGGCACAGGTCTGCAGTTCTCAGCTCAAATCTGATTAAGCATTCACTGTAAGAAAACCTGATTATTTTTTGTAGTTCAGGTGGGTAGCTGTGTCAGCATGTGCGGGCTGCAAAGGAACAAGTTTATTCCATGCTGAAAAGAGAAGAAAGAAAACACAACGTTTCGGTTGTGGGGTCTCCAGCATGGAATAAACCTATTACTTGTTCCTCATTATTTTCTGTCTGATGACGTTTGTATGCATTTATGCAGCTGGTCATTTTACTGCAGCAAATCCACTTAAACCTTTGTTATGAGTCCAGAACCCTAGCCCCTGCTCCATCAGAAATACCTGTTCTTGTTGAGCATTTAAGACGTTTATGGATGGCAGGTTTCAGGAAGATTTTGTTTCAGGAAGGATGAATGGTTTGGGTACGCTGTGTTCTCTGCTAGCCCCTGAGCCCTTCTCTTCCGTCAGTTCCTGAGTGAATGTCTGCTGTGTCCACAGTTCTGCACCCCCATAGCCTCAGCCTGGCTGGTCCGAGGAGGGAAGGTGATCCCCATCAACCTGTTTGACGACACCAGTTACACCTCGCGCCCTGACTCTGTGCTGGAGGAAGAGGAGGAAATTGTGGAGGCTGCTCGTGGTGCCACTGAATCTAGCATCTACCTGGGTAACTTCCTGCTTCCGTTTTTAAAACACAAGGGCTTCTTGGCTGTTTTCATAAAGAAGACTACTGGACTTTGTCATCCCACACAGGTGTAAATCAGAGTGATCAAGGCACTAAAGAGCGTCTGTATAGCCAAGTTATTGTATCTTTAATATTGTGTTTCCAGCACTTGCCACAACGGCACCATTATCGTGTATTTCCAAGATGAGGTAGTTCTTACACTGACAGAAGTATAATTTTTTAGGAAGAAATGATTGTTCCTCGTACTATATGTATAGATATAATTCATCACTAGTTGGATTACAGACTTCAGATAAGTTAGATTGTGCGAGCATGCCAAGTTATTCTGCTAAGAAACCAGGGTTAACACCCGTTGTAAAATGAAGTCCTGAATGTATTCGTTTTTAATGGGGCTTCAGTCAGCATTTTAAAAGCACAGGGAAATGGCAATGAGCCTGGAGTCAATGGCTTAGTGGGTTTCCCAGGGTGCAGTGCTCTAGGACTCTCCCGTTCCTGTGCAACGTGTGAGAGCAGGCAGTCACTCTGATCTCTAAAAGAAAATGGGATCTAAGTTGGCTAGCAGTATCAACCACATGTATGCTGTTACGTTAAAACAGCATCATTGACAGCTGCCGATGATGTGCAAATCATCAATGCAATTTCCGTGCACGAAAGGCAGAGTTTGCTAAAACAATCTTGCTGGTGTTGCCGTAGATGCAGGCAGTGAAATACTTTTTAAGGTGCCGTGTTCTACAGTGGCCATCAACACATCGGCTAGGTTCTGCGCAGGGTCTCTTTCTGGCATTGCACAAGTTTGCAAAACACTTCATATTGTATTCCACTATAAACGTATAGGTGATTGTCACAGTATTGAGTGCGGCCCATAAGTTGGTGCTCTTGCTCTTGCCAACTTGTGGCTAACAGCATCAGCTAACCTTGCGTTTAATTTGTCCAGTCTAGCCAGGGTGCATTTTTGTGAAGGAACAGTCTGTTCTATAAGCTCTTAAACTCTTAATTTCTTTCCACAAATCAATAGGTGCCATGTCCTTTGCAATCACTTTGCATTTGTTTAACATTTTACTCAGTATGATGCAGATCATGCTGATGATGACCTGTCCCAATAGATATGCTTTTTCCCCGATCTGCATGCTAAGGGAAAGATGGATGCCTTGGGTCCAGATGATTAAGTGCAGAATCTATGAACTTGTGTAAGGTTATGCTGTTTTTACACATGAGGACACTGTACAATGTTACTTTTATTTTAGCAAAGCTTTTCCACACTACCCTGTTCTGTGAGGTGGTAGTTGCACTCATATACAGAAGCAGGCAAATTACCTAGCCTGTTATTTGCTGTCAGTTATCGCTGCATTCTTAAAATTATTGGTATTGTTTTAAGATTTTAAAATACTGTGTATGTTTTTTTAAAATGAGTTACTATTTGAATGCTTATGTTTTGGAGGAGTATGTTGTTTTACTCTTCCTTCTCTTGCAGGCATGTTCCGGGGACAGCTCTACCTGCAGTCCTCTGTCCGAGTCTCGGAGAAATTCCCCACCAAGTCCAAAGCCCTGGACAGCCGAAGCTCTGACAACAGCATCATCTCCCTGCCCACTGTCAAGTGGAAGCCTCTGATCCGTGAGTCACATAACCCCCCGTCACTGCCAACATCTTTGTGTAGCTTAATCTGCGATGTTTATTATGTGCGATAACCTGGAAGCCTGTCATTTATACCAGCCGACCTTCAAGAATATCGAAGTATGACTGGTGCTTGCTAACACTAAGCGTGTGTTACCGTCACCCCCCGAGCTCTGGTTCCACATGCGGTTTGTTTTCTGCCCCCCTGCTGTGCAGATTCGCCCTCGCGGACCCCGGTGCTGGTGGGCTCCGAGGAATTTGACAAGTGTCTGAACAACGACAAGTTCTCCCACGAGGAGTACAGCAACGGAGCCCTGTCTGTCCTGCAGTATCCCTACGGTGCGTAAAAAGCTCGTCAAGGACAGGAGACTGCAGGCGTTCGGACCCATTTCACCTCTCCTCCCTGCCTTGCTAATGAGAGCTGATTACATTTAACTTGTAATTAAGTCTGTCATCCTTTTTAACACCTCTATTTGGAATCCAGTACACTGCAGCGAGCGGTCTCTCAAGAGTTGTCTCTGCTCTCTGGCCGCGCAGACAATGGGTACTACTTCCCGTACAGCAAGCGCTACCGCGGGCGGCGGGAGGCAGCGGTCAGCCTCCTTCCTGGGGACACGTCGCCGAGGGAGCCACGCAGGAAGGACCCGGTGCTGCTGCTGCCCTGGTGGAAGGAGATCCTGGGCACCATTGTCTTCTGCATTGCTGCTACCACTTACATTGTCCGCAAGTTTTTCCACCCATCGGCTGTGCATGTGCGGGTAAGTGCCTGGCCTCTGCCCCACTAATATCTTCTTGAGTTTTTCTGATCCAGCTTCCGCTTGACCCTGATTTATTGCCAGAGTCTTTACAAAGTGAGTCTCCTTAAAATTAAAATGCAGGGCTACCTATCTTACTGTGCAGATTATTCAAGTTTTATGGCCCCTTACATTGCAATTCAGAAATGGGTTTTTGGAAGAGGTTTTAGTGGTTAATCAGTTATACAGTTAGATCTTTGGCATCCTTCAGTGTTCTTAATAGCCATTGCTAATTTCCATCCAGACCTAAGATGCCTTCTGCTAAAGCTCAGACTAGCTAGTCTCTTGCGTACACAGGTGTGCAGGAGATCAGCAGAGTTGTGCTGATGTACCGAATGCTGCTCTGAAGAGCCAGTCTTGCTGGCAGGGCACAGATTCCATCTTCCTGTGTTTAAAGGCATAGCTGAAAGGACTGCCTGGCTGTGGCAAGGGAATAAACTGCCCTGCTTGCCTTCACACTGCATGCTGCAGGCTAGGCTACATGGTACAGACAATTCCTCACCTGACTGGTCCACTTCATCCCCTAGGGCATGGATATAGGAGAGGTTACAAATTACAGGATCCTTGTGGGTCGCTTGCTTTATACTCCCATAGCCCTTTTTAGTAAAGCAGTACCTTCTGCTGTATGCCAATTTTGAACAGGAAGAGTAGCAGAACATCCTATCAGCCTGTTGAAAGGAAGCTTAGATCTGGAGCAGGTTTGTATGAATACTCAGGAAGGTCATATCTGATTCTAACTTGGTAATGTTTTCATATTTTTCATGTTGCGGTTTTGTTTTCTATGTGTAATGTTTGATAAAATCCTTTAGACCTGGACATATGCACCAAAGAATATTTAGTGTCAATCATGATGGGACTTGCAGCCTTTTGAATTAAATTTGTGCTGATGACCTTAATGTAATCAGCCTAGCCCATGCCAGGACAGAACGGGGTATGGCTCTGGAGCTCTAAAGCAAAGCTGCAGTACTAACGTTTCTTTATGTCCTCTCACAGCAGAGGAAGGAGTCCGAGACACAGTGTCAGACTGACAGTAAGTTTGAATCGGAATCGGAGGACCCCAAGGAGGTGGTTATCACAGACAACCGGAGCAGTGGTTACGTGTCCAGGTACTGTTCTCTGACTTAACTGTCTTGGGTTTTATTGGTTCTCACATTAGAACTGCTTCTTTATCACAGACACTTCCTGCATTTTCCAGTAAGAGGTGATTTAATGCCAAAAGTCTTTTACAGAGCAGTGTTTCCTCTTTGTAGCCTAATCTGTTGGATCCCAGAAGCTCAGCAAGGCTGAGCCGGGTCAGTACTGGAAAGGGAAACCTTTAAGGTGAACTGGGTGGCTGTGGAAAGTGTTGGTGAACCAGTAGGTTGTGCGCTTTCATCTATACAAGAATAAATACTCCAGTATGGTGACAGGGTATGCTGTGCTGTAAGAGGGGTTTTCCTGCAGATGGGATCTTAAACCAAGGTCCTGACTACTTGGTCCTTAAAGATCACATGGCTGTTTGTAAGAGTGGGGATGTTATCCCAGTGTCATGTCTAGAGTGCAGTTCAGCTTTGTACGTTTTACATTTGTTCGTTTGGCAGTCACACTTGTTCAAAGCAACAAACTGGCTTTTAAAGTGCCCCATTAATTTGATTAGGTGAGGGTGAGGGCTGCACCTCAGTGGTAGATGTCATCTCCTACAGTATAATCAAAGTGCTTTGGGATAAAATGAGCAGTGTAAATTCAAGGATCTAATTAAGTATAGATGCTCTGCATGATTCTTAGATGTAGTGAAAAGTACAATGTATTGCATTGTGCTGATTAGTGAAAAACAAGTCACAATTAAGTAGCTTAAGAATTGAAAGGATCTGCTCAGTGCTGATCACCTGTGATTCCAGTCACCTTCTGTTCCCCAGCCTGCCTCAGTCCGTGCCCATGTCTGTGTGCAGGTGTTGCTGTGCTTGAGGTCCATATCTGGGGAAAATAGCTCTCGTAAAGAGTAACTCTTGAGACACAGGTGAGGTGAGACCTCACAAGGCCAATATTTTTTTTCCCTCAGTCACATGACTCCTTCATTTAAACTCTAAACACTTTTAAACTTCTTGGTTTGGTTCTGCTTTCACTCTATGTGGAATTTAATTTCAAAAGAGTTTTGAATAATAAAGTAGAAACAGAATGAGTAATTGGGAGTTCATCAAAAGTATGGAAATCCGCACAAGCTAAATTCTCGTTAACAATGCTGGCGTGTAGCTGATCCCAGTGAGACTGTGTGCAAACACCACTGCGGGTCAGTCAAACCCGTGACGCTGTGTCCGAGCTCATGGGGGCATCACAATGCAGGAGACTTGACGGGGGGTTTGCTGAAAGCTTATATCATTCCATTAGCAAGCTGTTTCTGTCAAGATAGTGACCAGTGCACAGGAACTGGATTAAGCATTGCTACCTCACAGCTCTTGGTGCCTGGGTTTGGATGTGAATTGGAACACTTTCTGTGTGGAGTTTGCATGTTCTCCCCCGTTTAATTTCAGCAGAATATTGAATAGTAGGCAGAAACCGATTGAGTCATTGGGTGACTTGTGGGTGTTCTCCCACTTTTCAAAGATGCAAGCTGTGCTCTTGCTCTAGGACAGCCTAGGTGTCCCTCCTAGTATTGGCCTTTGCTGTAAGGGTCCCCTGTGTGACACCTGCTCTGCTTCCCCAGGTACCTGACAGACTTTGTGCCAGTGCAGTGTCTGGGCCGAGGGGGGTTTGGAGTTGTATTTGAGGCACGGAACAAGGTGGACGACTGTCACTATGCTATCAAGAGGATACGTCTGCCGAACAGGTAATCATCTAGTAATCATGATCATTTTTAAAAGTATTGAGATGGCTGGTTGATATGTGTCTCTTGTTAGTCAGGTGTTTGTTGTTGGGGAAATTGGGCTCAAACAAAGAAATGAGCATCCCGTAAACCTGTCACTGTTTAACTTGAGTGTCTGAAGTCAAAGTTCAAAATGGAAACCAACATACTACCAATATCGGCAATATACTGAAAAAAAAGGAAACCACAGGTATAATAACCAATCAGCTGAGACCAGGTCAGTCAAAAAAATAATCTGCAGCTGATGACCAAACATTATTGGAGATTTCAAAGAAAACCCTAAATCAACCGAGTTTAACGATCAACCACCTCCACAGTGTGGGAGTAAAAGTATAAAAATCCACATCTTGCAGGAAACATCAGAATTACAGAGGCAACACAGCAAGATGTAAGCCATCATTAACGCTAAGAACAAAAAAGCTTGATTAGAATTTTAAGTACAATTCAAATTCTATTCAGGAGTGCAAGGAGAAGGCAGGAGAGTTTTATGGACAGATGAGACCATGATAAATCTTTTCAACAGTTATGGAAAGGCTGTTCATTATACCTTGTATGGAAACAGGTGTTGTGGCTTCTAATTAGAATTATGAAGATTTTGTAGCAGTGAAATTTATGCTTTACATGTTCTGCCATCTAGTGCTGAATGCGTTAACTGCACCGGTCCAACTGTTTCAGTAGAAGCCAGCTGCAAGTGCTTATTGAAACCTACTTTCACAGCACTCTCCTCTGCAAGGGCCTTAG